CCAGGAAATATACGGTGGCCAGAGTATACCTCAACTAGGGAGGACCGTTGTTGAAAGGGCGCTCACGCGAGTTAAGCGACGAATGTAATTGACTGGTATCATATATACTGGCTATATAGCCCTCACGTCGGCTTTCGTCCGTGAGTAAAGTAGAAGCGGATATACATATGCACATCCTTCCTCCTGATATCCGCGACCACCTTGGCAATCATGACACGGCACTCGGACTCACTCCAGCCCATGACCTTGCCCAAGAGACCGAGAGTGTAAGGCTCGATGCCCATGGACATGTGCTCGCGCTGGTAGCGGCCGATTTCCTTCATTTTCGCGTCCTTGGCCCAAGGGCCGATAGGGATCTACAGGTACCGCATTAGCCTGGTAAACGGCATAGTGTAGGGGAAAAGGGTAGACATACCTTGATGAGCTTCTCGTGAACATCGATGAACCCTGCATCCGTCATCCGCTGCTTCAGGCTGTCCCCGGCCGTGATGTCCCTTCCCCACGTTTTAGCGGCAGCGTGGCACAACTCCTGCCACTAGAGGTAGAGGTACAAAGTCAGCATACGTCCCACATGCACTTCGTACAGTCAAAACTTACCTTGAGCATGTCGGTTGCCAGCTCCATGGTCCCATCGTCACACTCACACAGCGCAAGCGGCTCCTGGAATTCCACCCAACCGCCGGGCTTGGTATGCGTGTATGTCTGTCGCACCAGCTTGTCCCAGTCGGAGATACTGCCAGACATGGTTCGGCAGTGGATAAAGTCAAAGGCCTCGTCGGGACTGTAGACCCATTCCGACTCGGCATCGTCAATGTAGAACTTGACGTTGGGCGGCACCCACGTTGGCTGGATGGGACTGAGATCAGTGCCTATGACCTGTGCTCCTGGGTGCTCGTCGGCGAAGTCTATGGCCCAGATGCCGGTGCCGGTGCCGATGTCGAGCACGCGCTGGGGCGCAGGCGGGATGGGTGCATCGTAGAGCTTGCCGCCTAGGATGAGCAGGAAGATGTGATGGAGGAGATCGAGGCGGTCTTGCTCTTGCTCATCTGCAGAGGTGGAGGTATAAAGTCAGCATTGGTCTCACATGCACTTCGTACACTCAGGACTGACCATTCGGTAAAATGTATGAACCGGACCGGTAGCCGTGGTATCGCCGCCCATTGGAGTATTCATAGTTGAGGATAGTCGATGCGATGGACGTGGATGCCGTGGATTCGCCGCCGAATGCCGAATCGCTATCGCTGTTGTTGGCCGTGTCGACGTCGAGATGCAGGACGGATTGCAGGTTGCCCTCGGCTGTTGGATCCTGCGGGGCTGACATGCTGTGTTCCAGTTCTTTTCCAAGAGCGTTTGCACTCGCGGGGTCAGGCCTCGCCTTATATCTTCCACCTCTCTACTTTCGTCGGCCATGCCGTAGGATCCAGGATGCCGGGTCAAACGCACCCCATTCCATAATCAGTCTGCAAACACCACATGCCTTAGCGACATGTAGGAGCGCACTCTGCTCTCTAAAGAGCGCGTCGCCGCCTGATCGGTCTCTTGCCTTTCTGACATCCAGCCGTCATGTCTCTTCCCGCTCTGTGTCTGCTGGCGTACTTTGTGTACCTCCTCGCACGTGTCTTTTACCGCCTATATTGCCATCCACTATCCCGCTTTCCTGGCCCCAGGATCGCGGCAGCCACAAGCTGGTACGAGGGCTACTACGAGATCGTCCACAAGGGACAGTACTCGAAGCAAATCTCCAAGCTCCACGATATCTTTGGCCCTATTGTAAGAGTGACGCCTGATGAACTGCACATACGAGACCCATACTTTTACGACCAAGTCTACGCCAAGAACGTCCACCTCGACAAGGAGGGTTGGGACAAGAGGTTTGGGTGTGCAGGCGGCCTGCTGCCGACTGTTAACGCGGAGCAGCACAAGCGACGCCGTGCTGCGTTGGCTCCCATGTAGGTGCATCAACATGTAGTGCAAGGCACCTCGGCACGATTAACGCCTGTTGTCAGGTTCTCACGCCGCTCGATACTCGACTTCATACACATCATCCACCGCCATGTCGACACCCTCTCCGTGCGCATGCAAGAGTTTGAGGCTCATGCAGAGCCGCTTAACCTATCCCATGCCTTCCCCGCCCTGACAGGCGACATCATCATGGACTACTTCTTCGGCTTCAACTACAACCAGCTCAAGCATCCTGAATTCGAGTCATTCCATGATGCATTTATTCGGGTTGGCGGTGTGGGTCACATCGCCACGCAGTTTCCCATGATACTTCCCGTGGGTTATATTTAGATCATTCAAGATGTGCACCAGTCACACGTGGAACTGACATGGTTTTTGCAGATTCTCGATTGTATCCCTGACCGTATCAGCGGCTGGCTGCAGCCAGCAGTGAAGCCAGTGCTCAAGTTCAAGCAGGTATGCGGCACAGCATTGCATCTATACCGTGTTGAGTCTAACATGCGAGTCAGGATAACCGGAATCACATTGCGCGCACCCTTAAGGGCGAAGACATCAAATCCAACGATGCGAAGAAGACCATCTTCCAAGAAATTGTCGGCTCTAAGCTACCTGACTCTGACAAAACACAGAAGCGTCTCGAGGATGAAGCGCAAATCATCATCGGGGGCGGCGTAGAGACAACCGCCTTCTCCCTCTCCACAGCCGCGTTCCACATCATCAGCACCCCACGCATCTACGAGCGCCTCCACAAAGAGCTCGTAGAAGCTTTTCCCAACAGAGATGACTTAGATTTGGCCCCACTGGAGAAGATGCCGTATTTCAAAGCCATCATCATGGAAACCGCGCGCATGTCATACGGCTTGAGTGCCCGAAATCCCAGGACACACAAGACGCCTTTGCAGTACAAGGAGTGGGTTATTCCCGCAAATACTTGCATAGTAAGTCATTACCCTACTCAATGATCCATCTCCCCATCGCATCCAAACTAACCCCACACCCACAGTCCATGACCATCCCCGAAGTCTCCCACGACGAAACTCTGTTCCCTTCTTCCCGCACCTTTATCCCGGAGCGCTGGCTCAACGATCCCAAGACCGCCGATGGCATTCCGCTGGAGCGCTTCATGGTTTCTTTTGGTCGCGGTACGCGCAATTGTCTCGGTATCAACCTGGCATATGTGGAGCTGTACCTCACGCTGGGCATGCTGTTCCGGAAGTATGAGTTTGAACTTCACGAGAGTGATGTCAGCGATGTGGAGTTGGGCCATGATTTCTTCATTCCGGTTGCGAAGCTGGATAGTAAGGGTTTGAGGGTTTTGGTTAGGAGCACGGAGGATTGAGTTTTCTTACTTGCGACCAGTGGAGTTAATCATGTGGACTCACTCTGACGGACCATTTTGATAGGTCGTCTTGAGGACATCATTCCAATACAAGATATCCAAGTGATGTAGCCCCCAGGCTCATACATCCAATCACCCAACCAAAACTCACATCAGCATGCCCCCACCATCCGTCCTAACCATCGTCCCATCAACATTGTAATCCCTCAACAACCCCAAAAATGTCTCCGCCACATCCTCCGGCCTCCCCACCCTCTTCGTCGCCATCCTACTCTCCATGCCCCGCATAATCTCCTGCTTCCTCTCCTCACCGTGATGATCCCACATCTCTGTATCCACCGCGCCCGGGCTCACGCCATTAACGCGAATGGGCTTCATATCGAGAGCCAGGTTGCGCACCATGGAGTGCAGTCCACCAGCATACGCGCCAATAACGCTCCAGTTAGGAATCGGCTTTTCGGATACAGCGCCTGTGGTGATGGTGTAGGAAGATTTGTAGCTTTGGACAAGGTAGTGCGGGAGGTATTTTGCGAGGAGCAAGGGCGCAAAGAAACGGATTTGGCCTGCGGCGAGAATGTTTTGCATCGTCTGGAGATCTTGTTAGTCATGCCACATACACCCGATACGGAGATGTAAGAAGAGGATTAATAAAAGACATCAACACACCATATCCCCCAACTTGATATCCGCCAACTTATCCCCCGCAGTAAAAACAACATGATCCAACTTGCTCTCCGGTATGCTCTCCACCGTCTTCTCCAACAGCGTCTTCAGCTCTTCTTCCAGCGTCTCTGGCTTGCCTAGGTCAACGGCAAGGCCTCTGATGCGCGGGTTTGAGGAGTCAGCAGCAGAGGGGTACGCGGTTTTGAGTTTGGATACAGCGGCATCGATGCGAGATGGGTTGGAGGAGCTGATGGTTACTAGAGCGCCGTTTTCGAGACAGGCTTCTGCGACACTGTAGCCGAGGCCGGATGTACCGCCGATCACGAGGATGCGCGAGTTGGTCAGTTTGTTGGTGTAGCGTTTTTGGTCGGTCATGGTTTCGGCGGTTGGCTGTGTGTGTTGGTAGATGGGGAGACTGTAGGTAGTATACGGGTTGTTTAGTTACTGATCGCACGATCGGTCTTTCGTACGATGAGTATTGAGGTAGTACAGGTCGATGAAGATAGAGAGCTGTGTATTACACTGTTCCCCACATTAGCAGCATGGTTAATGGTATATATACGCAGATCTCAACAACGGCATTTACATCATTGTGCCTGACGTGTAGTTGCCGTTGTTATCTCCGTGATGAACAAATCGCGTTGCTAGCTCCTAAGCATATAGCGTGGTTTCTCCACCCGTTTTACTTCTGCTCGACGTCATTGGAAAAAGGTACAAACGTGCCCGTCAATTTCTTGCATGGAGATGAACGGAGATAAGGTCATACGTATATGCGGGTACAGCCGTCATGCATTACATCATCACAGTTGAGTGTCAAAAGTGAGCATTGACTTGATTATTCATTTCAACATGCGCTGTATGAGGTATCGTGACCTCGATCAAGAGGGCTCAGTAAGCCGTGCTGATCGTGGGAGCTACTAGGCTAATGCAGCTCTGTAGCGTGAGCACCAAGCGTGCGTGTGTGTTTATCAAGTCTCTCCGAGACCTGAATATGTTCGATCCTGCTTCTTTTACGAAGCTATCGTTTGATAGCCGATCATAGTGTTGTCCACATGGTGTTGATCTGCTTTCGCTTGACCTGGAGTGCTGGTTAGTATGCCATGTAACACAACAATGCACAGAAAAGTATAGAGAGGGTAGACTTACCAAAGGCGCAACGAACAAGACTCCGACAAACAGTCCAACAACGGTCAAAAGCATAGAAATCTTATTGAAACCCTTGCCTAGGATATCGAACGAGAAACTGGGTGCGACCCGTGTTCCGAATATATCCAAGCCATAGGCAAAGACCAGGCAAGTACTCTCGATTCCGCTCTCACTCGTGATAATATCTTCGATACCTAAGACTTCGTACTTGTGGGTAAGGTGCCACTTCGGGTCGAAGTTGATGAGGGGTGTGTACTTGACCAGACCTTCAGACGCTTCCTGCGCAGTAGGCTCACGACCGACGGGTCGGCGAGGATCAATCACCATGCGTGGAATGCCAACTATAGCGTTGAGTGCGGGTAAAGTGACGAGGAGCTCACGACTGGTGATGCCCTGTCTGGTCTGTGTGACACTCATGTGTGTAATCTCTGCTGGTACCTGATAACTCTGCGACAGTACGTAAGGTTTCGCAGCGTCACCGTGCGAACCCGAAGGTTTCACGGTAGAAGAGTTCGACGAATCGCCCAATGGACCCCTGTCGTCTGGAAGGGGGGATTCGTAAAGGTCAGAGACGACAAGCTGGTAGCCGCGGGAAGAAGCGCCAGATGCAGCATCGATAGTTAGCGCATACGCGAACCAGTTCTCTGAGATAGTGGCTGGAATGGGTCGTGTGGTATCGACATCGTTGTGTGACATAGTATGTAGTACTTGTCCAGATGCAGAATCAAGTAGATAGACGGACGCGGATCGCGCTGATTCCACCACTGTTGTAACTAGGACGAGGTTGGGGTTCAGATACTTGTACAGCACCCTCCTGTCGCCTAGTACTTTGCCGATAGAGGCAACAGGGTCCTTGATCGGGCGAGCGACATAGCTGGCAATCTTCTCCTCGACAGGTGGCGTAAAGCTCCACACTGGTTCGGAACCAGGCTGGCTTTCCAGATATCCTTTCAGAGTGCCGTCAACCAAGGTGAATGAAATAAGGCTTTGCCCCTCAGCAACTAGCGAAGGCTCCAGCTTGATTTTGTCGGAAGTGATGAGGCCACCAGTTGTCGAATTGATGAACATGGATCCCTGGAAGCTGGCGTCTTTTACTTCAACATAGCCGCTGTGCGCCTTGAGAGTCGGGTGTTGGAAGCTCGTGCCGGGCGCGAACTGGCCAAGGTCCACGTTCCACATAACTTTGCCTCGTGAACCAACATCGAGGGCAGCAAGGCGACCCGCTTTAGTGGCGACGACAACAAGCTTGTGGAAACCAAAAGTGTCTTGTTGGATATCGTCGACTGTTGTTTCCTTTGTCTTGCCGAGCACACTACTCAAGAGGCGCTGGGGAATGCTCTGTGCCCACGCCGGGAAGTATTGCAGATCCTGGAGGTGCCTCTGCACACGGTGGATGTAAGCGGAGACAGGGTTGCGATGGCTTTCGTCGGCAAGTGCTTGTGCCAGGGCCTCCTGTTCGGGCAAACCGGCCCAGACTGCGGAGACTGCGCCAGACAAGAATTCGGGCCGGGTCCAAGCCACTTCATCGTTTCGCAGGAGTGCCCACTGTCCGTTGGAGTACAGGACGGCCGATCGCACAGCGCTAGCGGCTCCTGACTTCACAACAACTTCAGATTGGCCATGCACAGGGAAGGCGCCCGCAAGTGCCGGAGAGCCTTTGACAGTCCAGCGACCCAAGACACCGTGCGAGACTGAAGAGAATACGGTCACTTCATCTTCGGTTACCCTCGTGAAGTAAACGTTCGCATCGGATGTGCTTGTAGTAAAGGTTCCCTTGGTCCTCAGCTCTGGGAGGCTGTAGGCTTTTGAGACGGTTTGCTTGTTGAGGTCGACGTGGTAAACTTCAGCAGAATGGCCGATGGCAGTCTGGTACTCGACGAGGAAGTGGGCGAGCGAATTGATGTGGTTGGGAGCATGGAGAAGGATGTTCTCGATGACTTCGTCCCCTGGCGTGTTGAAGGTCGACACAGCCTTGGTTCCGATTATGTTGACTTTCAGCACCTTGTTCGCCTTGTCGGTCCAAGCCAATAGTGGGGCAGCCGTGTTGGCTCCGGCGAAGAGGATACGGTCGCGCGAGGAGATCTCAGTGTCCGAGTTGAGGGTGTACTGGTCGAGCTTCTTTCCTGTGATGGGATTGAGAGACGTGACTCGGAGCTTGGAGCCTCCGAGCATGGGCGTGTGGAGGGCGATGTAGTAGATGGTTGTCGGCGAGGTCGAGACCTGGAAAGGCGTGTCTCCGCTGCGGCCTGTCAGTGTCTGTCACATTGCCATTGATTGATATAGCCACCTCGTGTCCTCGTATGTCCACTTGACGCGCCCGGTCTTGCCGTCAAGCCTCTTGACACTGTTGCTGCCATCGGTAGCAAGGACAATGGCGTCTTTGGCCGCGCTTATGGTCATGCCATCTTCCTGCTCTAGTATCTCCAGATCCTCGACTGCAGCCCCGCCGAGGCTGGTGTCCCACACGAGACGGCCGTCGGAAGCGCTCCAGGACGTGACGCGGTCTCCGACGGCGCTGATTACCGTGTCCTGCTCGTTGCCTGAACGCAAATGTCCGCGGTGGCCGGGCTGCGAGGCCAGGTGCTGCCGCCAGACGAGGGCGCCATCCTTGGGGTTGATGGCGCCGATGGTCTGGTTCTGGGATATCGAGTACAGGAGCGATGCCTTGGAGCCCGCATAGGGCTTCTGGAAGAAGGTGGCCTCTGGGGCAGGAAGGCCTAGCAGGGCATAGTGGAAATCAATGTGGAAGGCATCGTCCTCGAAGATGGCCGCAGCCGGCGCGAGACATGCTGCGATGGCGACAGCAGCACTAAAACGCATGGTCGGGTGGAATTGGAGCTTGTCGTCGGCGTCGTCGTCGTTCGGCTCCCATGCGCCCTGTGTCGGCTTCCCTCACACGTCTGCAGTGCCAGGGCGCACGTGCCCGGCCTGCTCCAGATCACGGGACCCTTATTGGGTGCCCTGCTCCTTATAACCCCAACTGCCAGCCCAGGCTCTTCACGACTCAGTTCAGGCGGCGTCGGGGAAGCGGGAAGCTCTCCATGGGCGATTATTACGTCGACAGGATGCTTGCTCGACAGCCTTGCGAACCCTTCTTGTGCACGACTCGACCAGAGGGCCACGCTATCATAGATTGGAGCTTGTCCCGGCGCCCTGGCTTTGTTTCGCGACTGGCCGCGACGACCTCGTCTCCCTCTCTCTCGCAGCATCTCGGCGCTTTGTTTTTTTGGCATAATTACGGGCTGTACGGGCTGCACCCCAGAGCCGAACACCTGGCATATCTCCTGCTAAGCCCTACCAAGTCTACTGCATGCATGTGCCTTTCTTCGCTACCTCTTTGTCGCTGCTTGCTCCCTGATTATCGCGACGCCGTTCCCTTCTCCCACCTCGACCTTCACGTGACGGAAAAATCTTCCCCAGCCCCCAACCTCGGCGCGTCAAACAGGTGCGTTACACAAACTTGCCCCGCGCATGCATGCAGTCGCTTTGCCTCTGTGGCTCGTCGCCTGCTGCATTCGAGGCTGCTTTTGTCTGATTGGACGTGGCTTGGTTTGGAAATCGATGCGCTGACGAGTGTGGTTGGCCCAGAGCGCAGTACGACGCGCACCGCCGACTCAGCCCTCTGGTACAGACCGACGCAGTGTCCAGGCAGCACGACGAGTCGACTTCCTTAGCCTTTACTAGACGGCGGCGGCTTTGAGCCGCTCATCCCTCTGTGGCACCCACCGCCACAGGAGGCGAGGAGCACTTCTCGTCAATAACCTCCTGGCCTCGCTGCAAGCTGCCCACGCAAATCTGAAGCATGTCGCAACGGGAGTACCACATAGTCGTCCTAGGTTCTGGTAAGCTAGTTAGACACCGTCAGCAACTAGGTCACAACTGACGAGAGTGGCGCCTTAGGTGGAGTCGGGAAGAGCTGCCTAACAGGTAAGGTTACCGCCTCGAGTACTCGCCAACACCACAGCAGCGCTGACTTGTCCACAGCGCAATTCGTGCAGAATGTATGGATAGAGAGTTACGATCCTACCATTGAAGATTCATACCGAAAGGTGCTTGATGTTGACGTGAGTGTGCTTCGACCCTCCTGCACTACCCTGTTGCTGACCCGCTGAAGGGCCGTCATGTCATTCTGGAGATCCTTGACACTGCAGGCACCGAACAGTTCAGTGAGTATTTACAGCCGCCCATGCACACGCGACCCATGACTAACCATAAGTAGCTGCTATGAGGTAATACACCATTCGAGTCCCATGCCAGCTCACGACTTACACCCCCATAGGGAACTGTATATGAAAACCGGTCAAGGGTTCCTTCTCGTCTTCAGCATAACATCGGCATCGTCGTTCTGGGAACTGGCAGAGCTTCGGGAGCAAATACGACGAATAAAGGAAGATAGCAACGTTCCCATGGTCCTCATCGGCAACAAGTCAGATCTAGAAGAAGACCGAGCAGTGCCACGCCCACGCGCCTTTGCAATTTCCCGTGAGTGGAACATACCGTACTTTGAAACCAGTGCTCGGAGAAGAGCCAATGTGGATGAAGCCTTTGTCGACCTCTGCAGGCAAATCATCCGCAAAGATCAACAGGAACGGCAGCGCATGGCCCCACCCGATTCACCGAGACCTGGCCCAAGGTCGCGGACGCATACTGGAAGGCCTAAGCGCCGGGGACACCGACCGCATTGTACCATCCTTTAAGTTACGATACCCAACGACGGACGACTGCACGAGTGGCAGTGGGCTTGCTGGTACAGGCGCTGTCACGATTCCCTTCGCATCGCTCGTTCCAAGTTTCTCGGTTTAGACTTTTGGTACCATAGAGGTATTAGATCATCCGCTCACAGCGGCAATTAATCCCCTTTTTCATACGGTTGAATCCATGACGCTTGTGTGCCCGTATCTGCGATTGTCTTTGTATGTTTGCTGGTGGGTGTTGGATGTCTCGTACGCAGACGTAACATGTGTCCACAACATGTAGTCAAGCAAGGCACGGGAAGAAGATCTGTCCTTACAGCTACCCCCACTTGGCGGATCTGCCAGGTCACTGGATCCGGGTGGAGACATCTCGATGAGGACTACGTATGACGTGTTGGCTGTCAGTACATGGCAACATGTCTGCTTCCAGGCCACAGTATGCAGCACCGCCAGCGGAGTAGACTCCTCCGGGAACAAGCACCTTCCGGAACCGACCCCCTCGGATCTCATCTGGCCCTGCATTCCTGCGGCTGCCGCCTATCCTCGGGCTGAAACAGGAGCGCGTGACAGCTTAAGTGTGGCTTCTTTGCGGCAAGCGTTTGCGTGCTTTGTTGGGCTGCTGTCTTGAAGCAAGCCGCGGTACACGATCTGACGTCACCGGCGGGGCAATAGAGGGGCATCATTCAGGCACGCAGCGAATGCCAGATGGTTGTCCATTCGCCCATGACGCGATTTGCATGATAATCCACGATCGACAGCGGAATTTTCAAAAAGTGCCACTCTCTTGCGTGGGTTTGTGCATTGCATGTGATGGTTCGTGGCTGCGGATACCCCATCGCGCTTGCGTGGTCTGGCCCTCATTCCATGGGCCCTCCTGTGTGACGTCACTCACCACCGGAAACAGTGACGTATGTTTGTTTGCACTCTGTTGGAGCCTAGCGCTCAGCCCTCAGCCCCTCACTAGCCTCCCTCACCTACCCCTCTTGCTCTACATAAATACCCTCACCCGTCTCCCCTTTGCTTCCTCCATCACACAATAAGCCTTCATCACCTCATCTACACTACCACTTCTTCCAAACCCAACCCCTCAAATACCAAACACTTCAAAATGTCTGCTCCCAACGCCAACACTCCCAACGAGGGCATCGTCGGCCAGGCCGTCAACTCTGTCAAGAACGCCGCCAACTACGTCGCCGAGACCGTCCAGGGCCAGACCGCTGAGGCCAACAAGGAGGCCAACAAGCAGCAGGCTAAGGGCAACGTCCCTGGCCAGGACTCCCTCACCGACCGTGCCTCCGGTGCCCTGAACGCTGCTTCCGACAAGATGAACCAGGAGAAGCACGAGGGCTCCGCTGAGGCCAACAAGCGCTCCATCTAAGTACTCAGTACTTGAGCACCGGTTCGACATTTCACTTCGGTATGTGGTCCACACCCGTCCTTCTTTGACACCTTTCTAACAATCACAAGGTTCAGAACGATACCACTATGGTTTGAGCGATGAGCACTACGACTCTCGCCGGGTTCACGACAGCCCCATGATAATGGATATGAGATACCAATAAATCCTTTAACTCTACAAACTCTACAGTCTCCTTGCCATGCCGTTGTGTGATTATGATGCTGGAAAACGTTTGTACGAACTTTCGCACCCAATTGCAGCTCCAGCCCTTTAGCCTTCAGCGCCGTTACCGATCTTTATGTGCTTTCCGGTCACGTCTTCGCACCCTGACTTCGAAAATATTCGTCCATTGTGCAAATCTCGCCCAAACGGTCACACGGTCGCTTTGTGACACATCATCACTCTATCCTCAATGAAGTGTGCTAGTATAGCAACATGAACGTCAAAGGTTCACCCAACATACATGTATCATGTATCTCACCGGCTACCTCGCGCTTCAAACAGATACATACGCCTACATTGTCATATCTTGACGATCATGAGTCACAACACGGAGACATAGTTTGGCATAGTTGTTTCATGAGATTGTTCAATGATGTTCCCAGTGATACTGCTAACTAAATGAACGCATTACTCAAGACAACGCTTCGCGAAAAACAAAGGGTATCGAATGATCAGGGAAATGAGAAAGCCAAGTATGAAAAGAGCTCGCAGAGACCTCGTCCGTGTCATCTCCAACAACTCCTTCCTCATTACTCGTGGACGCTGTGGAACATGCAGTGGTGGTGGGGTTCGTGTGATACGTGGGCGGGGGTGTGGGCGTAGATACATTTGGTAATGGTGCAGAAATACAACGCTGGTTTCGATGGTGCTGGTGTTTGCAACAGGCAGTGCAAGGAATCGTGGGAAGAGGAAGAAAACTTCTGGAGTAGTGCGTTGGAGGGTGTGTTGACTGTACGAGCGATGGAGGACGGGTTTCATCCGACACAGCTAGACTGTGAGACTTGGTCGTACCGTCCACGCTGGAACAAGCTCTTGATGTTGACGATTGTGGCCCCTAAGCAACCGTCTTGGGCGCATGAAGCCAGGAAGCATCGTCGCCGTGTCCGTTGTCGAATTCAAAGCTGATCCGGAACCTCTGCAAAAAGTACATCTTGTCAGCACACCTCTCAATTCCAGTCCCTCACATGAAGGGTAGGATAGGAGGGGGGCTTTAGACGTGCATAGCGCCACGGCCAGTATGCGTAGTCCTTGCCTTGAAGTGTTTCCAGAACATGATACCCCCAATGACAGCTGAGATGAACCAAAGCAGCATGTTCGTCAGTAGCACCCACACCCCGTTCTTCATCCTGGTGATACCCTTGTTCCCTTCTGGGTTCTCCCCAATGAACATCTTGCCGAATATGCCAAATGCAACGAGATAGCACAGGAAAACCAGCGCATCGACGGCGAAGAAGAACCACGCCTTGATGAGCGGTAGCATGGCGAGGAGGGAGCAAAGCGCACCGAGTGTGCCGCATACAACAGCCCACACCCATTTCGAGTCGACGTATTTCCCTTGCTTGCGCGCGTTGTCCAGGTCCACGGCGTAGAGTCCGATGACAGTGAGGCCCATGACGAATTGGAAGAAGCGCAGGACAAGGCGGAGGATGGTTGTTGGGGTGAGGGACGCGCCGAGGGAGGTTCCTAGGGTGGCTTTCTCGCCCCGGAGAGTGCTACGCGAGAGGAATTTGAAGCCCATAGCTGCTAGAACACTGAGCATCTTGCGTTAGTTGGGCTCGAGGACTGGGTCTATATGTGTGTATGGATTGGTGTGAGACAGGTAGACAATGTCTTACCTATTGTAGATGCGATGCGCGACTTTGTAGAGTTTGTTGATTCAAACGTCGTGCGCAGATGTCTCTCTTCGATCTTTGGTGTTTCGCAGAGGATCTCGGTCGTTGGAGTAGTCGCAATGGATAGAGCGGGGAAGAAGAAATAGTTGTGAACCGCAGTGATTAAACAAGTCGTCTCTCGTACTGTGACCGAAACAACACCGCTGCGCTGTAACTTGGGCGTGCTAAACCTCGTTGGCACACAAGGTTTCTTTTGGACCCTGGGAACTTCAGGGTCTTGACAATGTCACCGTTCCCTCTTCCTTCCAAGCGCGATGACGTCGGGGGTTGATCCTGGAGTGGGATGTGGCTTCCAGGGATTAATTAAATTTGTGCACGCGCTCTTTCGGTGCGAATTGGGAAAGATCGGCAAAGAGAAGGTGTGACAGCAAGGCTATTTGGAAGATATGCGATAAAAGGGGTATAGACGCTACTGGAACGATAGATAGGCAAGACGCGATAGAATGGAAGTACGAAGGGACTGTCCCGCGACTGTCAAAGCCGGCGGTGATGAGAATGAGACGTGGGAAGAACAAGATGCAACGCTGGAGACGCATGATTCGCCTCTCCATCGCCTCTCTTTTAAATCAGACCGTGAAGTGCTTCGTGGCATCGAAAGCGTCAACCCATGCGTTGGCGCCTGACCACACGTCCAGCGCGTTGTGAACGTGTGGTTCTGGTGACCCTGTTTGAGGTGCCGACGCTGACGTAGTGGACCTCGAGTAGCGTTGCATTCAGAGCAGGGATGTTTCACAATGTGATTCGCTGGCAATACTCCAGCCTCTGCATCATGAAACTTACCGTGAAGTCCGAGGTAACTTTGCTGTCGCAGGAAATGGCGTGCGACAAGCAACATTGGACTGTGTGATAGGTTGACAGTTTCAGCGCCTGGAAGAGATGTATTTCAAGACGTCTCTGTGATGGCACAAGCGGTATCTGTATGAAGAGTAATATTGTTTTATTCGCGGGGTATTAATCACCCACGGTTTGTACTACGCTCACGTACAGTTATCCAGCATACCAAAGACATAAAAATGTCTAAGGACTGGAGTACTTGTAGCCATATTGCTCCTTAGCGGCCTTGATCTGCTCCATGAGCTTGTTCTCCTTCTCCGCAAACTCCTTGTCATCCTTCAACTTCTGCAAGTACGTGTCGTTTCCAAAGCCGCTCTTGCTCGGGATATCCAAGCCGCGCTGGACTGCAGGCCGTGCCTGTATGCGCTCCAACCACTTCTTCACGTTCGGGAATGAATCGAGGTCAATACCGGAGAAGCGGAGCATGTGGGCCCATCCAAAGCTGGCAATGTCGGCGATGCTGAACTTGTTGCCTACAAGATAGTCGGTGTTGGCGAGGTGCGAGTCGAGGATGCCGACCAGACGTTCGGTCTCGCCTGTGTAACGCTGCATGGCATAGGGAATGCGTTCCTTGGCGAAGCGGTTGAAGTGGTTGGCCTGGCCTTGCATAGGGCCAAGGCCGCCATGTTGCCATGCCATCCATTGTTCTGCGCGCGAGACGTCGAGAGGGTCGCTGAAGCTGAACTTGTGTTCGGGGTCGTAGTGGCGCGTGAGGTACGTGAGGATTGAGAGACCTTCTTGGACAGCGAAGCCGCCCTGGTCGTGGTCGACGATTACACTATTTGTTGGTATCCAAGATCAGTACGCGTCTCACGAGAAGTTCGTAGGGTGGCATTGCTTACGGGATGCGTCCATTGGGACCGAGCTTGGTGAACCAGGGCTCCTTCTGTGTGTTCTTCGAGATGTTGATGCTCTGCCATGTGTAGTCCTTTCCGTAGGCTTCCTTGAGCTCCTCGAGCAGAATGCTAGCCTTCCATCCATTGGGCGTGCCGAAGGTGAGCAGCTCGATGCCCTTGTCCGCCTTCAGTCCGGTGGGTTCGCCGTCAGCCATTTCGGGAAGTATGCGAAGTAGCGGTTGTGAGCTGTGGAAGTGCGATCGGAGAGGTTTGCGCGTTTGGGCGGGGAGACGTGTGAATTGTCGGAGTTGTGAGGAGATGGAGGGTCGTAGTAATGACATGAAGAGGGGTAACTTCAGCGCGTTATGGAGGGGTTATATGCGGCCAATGCATGTGGAGAGCTATTTCTTCCCAAGCTATTGCTTAGGAAGCATCCATGACGTCGTCCTCGTAATACTGACATTGCGCACGCGTGCGCATTGACATGATTGGTAAGTGATGAAATCTTCAAATTCGTCGGACAAGTATGAACGGGCGTAAAGTCCATGAGTCGCGTTCTCTGCTCAAGCTCACGACGCGCTGTACCTTGTCAGCATTATAATGACTTGCGTGACTAAGCGGCTTCGCGATACACCTGGGCATCGACCCAAGCCCAACATTGAATGTTTTGAACCGAGATAATTCAATCAAAATGGTTCCAACTTCCTAAGTACAAACTGGCACCTTGCAGTTGAAGGAATTTGTTTTGAAGGAATTTGTTCGTCATATAAAGTCCAAGAAAACTCTGCATGGGATCTACGCCTGCATCGATGGAATACTCATGAAACCATTAGAACGCAATTCTTTTATACTTCTCCGTCAAGTTACGAACTACATCATAACTCGACAGAGAAGCGCAAACGAACTACCTTCAAGCGATATCATGAGTACTCCACCGACACAGAAACGTACTAGTGATCTAAAGATCATCGTGTCTACATTGTGGTATACAAGCCTTATCCAACTCTCCTACTATACATCCTCCCTACCTGCTACCATACCATGCATGCATTAGCAAAACTGTCGAAAAATAAGCTGTAGCCCCTCAACGGATGCTTAGTTGACCTTGTATTCACTTCCACCTCCACACCAGCACCGTCCCTCGCCTTCTTTCTCGACATGTATTACTACATCCATACCCCGGTCCTTCAGGAACTGGTATGAGCGCTCACGCACGTCTTCTGGGTCTGCCATGCGGTTGGCAATGATGTGGATCACGCCGAGAATGCGACGTTGCTTGGGTGCGTGGCTATGATCGTGGTCGTGGTCGTGATGATCATGCGAGTGTGAATGCGCATGTCCGTGATCATGGCCGTGATCGTGAGAGTGTGCGTGGTCGTGAGAATGCGAGTGAGAGTGGCCGTGATCGTGTGAATGGGAGTGATCATGTTCATGATGATCGTGCGGATGGTCATCGTGCTTATGGCCGCCTCCACAATCATGATCCTCCTTTGCGTGTGCTTCCGCGTGCGCAGCACCTTCGTCTTCAAGCCAGAACTTTGGTACCGCGTATCCGACAACGCCTCTCAACGTACCCAGTTCGCCTAAGGTATTTCTAATGCTATACTCGAGGTCGTTGGGCATACTCAGCATGAGTCTTGCGCCACTCGACTTGACCAGCGGGATCGCTGACAAGAAGATTAGGATTGCAATGATGCAGGACGCTATCGGATCCCATCCAGACCAACCATAGTACTTTGTAAGAAGAGTAGATATAATGACTGCAACAGAGCCAAGCGCGTCGGCGAGAATATGCAGAAAGATTCCCTGCATATTTTCGTTGTCGTGGGAGTGGCCATGTCCATGGTCATGTCCCTCATGTCCGTGATCATGATCGTGTCCATGGCCGTGGTGCGCATGGCCAAAGGCTACAAGGCCCACGATATTAACGATGAAACCAAGAATGCTGACAATCAAAAGCTCGTTGAGGCGCTGGAGTTCGTGGCCTTCCCAGAGGCGTTCAAAGGCATCGAAGATGATCTCTAAGCTAACCAACCTGCTTCGATTAGCACATACATGTAGCATGCATTAGGTGACTTACAGAAGGAAGACGCCGTTTGCAAAGCCAGACAACGTATCGACCTTGCCATAGCCGTATGGGAAGCGGGCGTTGGGGCGCCACTTGCTCATCACTGCTGCTGCAAGTCCCACGGCGAGACCAGCGCAGTCGAAGAGCATGTGGATACTATCCGTGAGCAGCCCCAAGGATCCACTGACGAAGCCGTAGAAGAACTGAACCATCATGAAGGAAAGGTTAAGTCTGTAAAAGTTAGTTAAGCCAATTTGGAGTGCAGAATCTGCTGAGTAGAAAGAAGTGAACATACACGCCAAAGTACGCAATGCGTCGCGAATCCCGCTCAATCAGCACGCTATGCACAATCGAGCCTGGAGTCGCGCGCGCGATGAGGAATGCCGAGATCCTAGAATGGTTTCCATGAAGATGATGATCGTGATTATGGCCGTGGTCATGACCATGCGAATGCTTGTGTCCTGCATGTCCATGTTCGTGCGAATGGGGTACCGAAGAACGAGTGTCGACGGCGACCGCCGCAATTAGCATAGCGCAAACCCAAGGGAACGCGATGTTGAAATGACTAAGAGCCTGGTGTTCCAAGAAGCTCAGGGCGAAGATGAGAATGCCGCTCAGTCTCAATCCAACCTGCTTTTGACTCCGTAATGATGCGGGAATTGACAGGAAAATGAGCGCCGTAGTGGATGCAACCGATAAAGTTGAGAAGCCCAGGGTGTGATGCGATAAAGAGGGCGTGGCAGAAGAAACAAGTGAATACAAAATAGTTGTGACAGTGAGTACAAGGCCGGAAGCAATGGTGAGTAGCTGATTCTCGGTACTGTTCACTAATAATGAAGAGGGCTTGGGCAGCGATGCGCGAGATGGCTTTTGAGTCATGTATGAGTCCTGACTCTTTGGTCCGGTCATCAATGACCAGCCTGCTGTGGGAAGAGGCGGAGGGACAAGGAGCAGCGATACTAGAAGGGCCAAATAGCCGACCAAGCTGCCTGTGACGTTGCCAGAGGTGAATATGTCAGCCGACATGCTCATGAGAAGAGCCCCGCAGGTCACCTTCCTGGTCCTCAATGTTCGTCGAATATCGTCCCAAGGTGTGTGTTTCCCTGGTTTCTGGTCTAGGGCACCAATG